GGGAGAGCCTTCCAGTAGGATTACTTGTTCCATTCCGTAGGCTAAGGAGAATGGTGTCTTCCTGTTGATCGTCGGTGTGGTGCGGTAAGCCCTAAAACATGAGGAAGTTCATCAGCCCACTTGCCTTGCCTTCTCTAACCTTTTCTTCAGTCCATTCAAGACGACTTTATTTGATGCTTCTGCCTGACCATTTGCTTGGGATATGCCGGTGTAGAATGTAGAACTCTATCTTGTACTCTTCACAAAAGCCTCTGAAGATTCTGCCGTCGAACTGAGTGCCGTTGTCTGAGATTAGGTTTTTGTATGCCAAACCGAGTAGATGATATTCTGCCAAACAGACTTCTTCACATCTTTTTCTTTGATTGATGCAATGCTTCTGCTTTCACCCACTTTGTAAGTAGTCTGTTGTTTGCGAGAAAGAACTTCCTGTTTCCGGTGCTGTGGAAAGTGGTCCTACTATGTCCAACCCACACTTCGGAAAGGCACTGGGCTAGTCAATGGAAGGAGTTCTCTAGCTGGTTGATGTATTTGATGTGCGGATTTCTGGCATTTCTCGCATCTCTTCACATATTTCTCCGAATCTGCCTGCATGTATGGCCACCAGTATCTTGCGAATGGCCCTGTAAGCTAGCGATCTTCTCCTTGATGGTTTCGCCACACCCCTTCGTGTATTTCGAACAAGAATGCTTCCACTTTGCTGGATGAACACACTTTAGGTAAGGTTCCTGAGAATGACTTTTTGTATAATGTCAAAGATGGGGAAAGCCAAAATCGCTGCGACTTTGCTCTTACTCTGTTGGCTTCTTTTTCTCTTTTGGTAAGATGCCGTCTTTAAGAAGGATGATGGGATCCATCAAGAGGGCCTAGTTTTGCGCAGCATACTTCTTCTGCCACTATTTCGGCATGGTGAAGTGCCGATCTGCGGGTGCGCTGATGATTGGTCTGGCGATGGGTGGACATTGAGTTGGTGACAGATGAAGTTTGGATCAATGCTTGGCATGTCGTACGGTGTCCAGGCGAACACTTCGATGTTAGAGGTTAAGAATTCCAAACCTCTAATCTCTCAGTGCTGGACAGCGACGAAGAGCAAAAAGAACTTATCCGGGTTCTTTTCATCTATTTTTTACCTTTACCAAGTCCTCCACTGCTTTCTGATCCGCCGCTTTGCCAACATCTGCGAAATAGCTCATTACTCTCTGGTTCTTTCTACCGAATGAAATATCCTTTGGCAGCGCCGGTGCCATTTACGTTGACGAAGCATTGCTTCGACATGAATCTGATCTCCATAGACTTCTTCAATTATACCGGTGTCATTGGGGAACCACATTACTTGGTGGTAGGATGATGCCATCGATCGCATGGCATGCAGCCATGTTCTGCCCAAGATGATGTTGTAAGTAGAGGGGACCTTCATACCCAGAACTCCACTTGTTTCGTCACGCTTCCTGCTCTAACTGGAAGAATTATTTTGCCGACGGGTCATCTGGCATGGAGTTGAATCCAATTAGGGGAGATACAGTAGGCGCCAAGTCTTTTTCTTGTAACTTTAGTTGTTTTAAATGTTTCGTAGTACATGATTTCACATGAACTACCCTGGTCAATCAGAAATCCGCTTGACGTCAAAAATCTTTGACTCGGAGAGACGACCAGGGCATCATTGTGAGGGCAGTATATTCGTTCTAAGTCTTTATCTGAAAAAGACATGACGTTTGTTGCCTCTGTCTTCCCCTTTTTTGGTGGCTGGTTGGGCGCTTAGCACCTCTCTTAAATGTTCAGCCTTTTGATTGATCCTCTGTAGCTCGCATACACGCTCAGGTTCAAGACTCCATGTATTAACATTGATAATGCCTTGAGGCGGGGCGTCGATTGGCATCCCATTGGGGTTATTGTGATCCTGGGGGGCTGGTTGCATTCCTCTTCAATGTACTTATCCAAGTGTCCTGCTGCCACCAATTCCTCCCAGGTGTTGCCTCAATGGTGTGCAATTCTCGGTGCGGTGTCCCTTTTCTTTATGGAAGGTGCACCGTGATCTTTTCGTCATAGTCCTTCTGAGCTTCTCCTAGCTTGGCTGGCCACTTGACGAAAGGCTCATATCTTATTTCGCTCAGAATCCGATATATCGGTTTTTTGAACACCTGGTTATGGCAGTGGGATTCTCAACCATCTTTTATCCGGGTCTTCTCCGTTATCTCGCTTGCCACGTCCGTTTCTGTTCTGACGATCTACTGCATTGACCTTTGCTGAGGTTTTTTTTCTGGTACTGCGGTCGCATCAGATTTTGCTTTGGCACGTGCGCCATCCTTTTCTACCCTGATGTGCTGATGCACTCTTTCCATTAGGGCTTCCATGGTGGAGGGTGGCGTCATGGTGATCGAGTCCCTTAGTCTGTTCCCGACTAGAAGGCCTCTTTTATACTGTGCAATGGCGAGATTGGTGGGGCAGTCCCAATCTGATTGAATGTCTCCAGTAGCGACTATTGTAGGATCTTAGGTCTCTTTTATCCCCATGTCGATGGAGAGTAGTTGGTCGATCTCCACCGGGGTTTTAGTGTTTGTTCGGAGACCTTGTTACGAACGCCTCTCCAATTGTGCCCAGGAGGCTATGCTGCCCTCTGGAAGTTTCTCGAACCAAGTCAAGCTAGGTCGCCAAGGCTTGATGGGAGAGTATAACACATTAAGGCCTCGTTTCGCCTTACCACGGCCATGACCTGGGAAAGTGGCTCAAGTGTGAGTAGGGGTCCGTCTTCCTTCATATGTAGTGAATTTGGGCTGAAGGAAGCCTGATGGTAGGGTGCGTTTTCAATCGCCGAAAACAAACGGCGAAGTCTGTAGCCTTGCTAATGCCTTGTCCGTTGGTTCGTAGGCCGGGCGCGGTATTGGCATTCCAACCTCGACGCTTCCATGCGTCCGAGGAGCCAACCGTTGTAAGGCCGAAACTCTGTGTGGATCCCTTGCCCTGGCATCCTCCTTGCATCGTGCCTTTGCTTCGAGCACGGTTCGTAAGTCGGATGATCTGGGTAATTCCGTCTGTCTAGATCTGGTTTGGTGCGAATGCGAGGGCCAATACGTGCTTCCTTCTGTGTATGATCTTTCAGATCTCATTCTCTCAGACTTGTGACGAGTTCTGGAAGACCAGGATTGAGTATCGCCTGTCCTGAGGCTTCTACTTTCTCCTTGCGAGGGTGTGGTATTTCTACTATGATTTTCTGAGTGGCGAGGGGGCGTCTTGTTTTTGCGCCCCTCTCCTGTCGCCACTTCTTTTTTCCTCATCTGGCGCTTCAAGGCCTCCATGTCCGCCGCCATCTTCCTTATCAATTCATCTTGCTCTTTCACGCGGTCTTCCAGAGCTTGAGGATCGATCCTCCGCCTTTGCTTGTCAGGACTTTGTGAACGAGAGTGACGGGGGCTGTTAGTCCGCCTCCCACTAGCATCCCTCCTGGAGTTATGTCGTTGGGGCTCCAAGTCCGCCATGGGAGGGATAGAAGGTAGTCCTTCGTGCCTTGTGCCCCGATCTGGAGTTTGCTCGTCGATGGCGGAATGTGGCAATTCTTCATTGTGCGCCATTGTTTTGTAAAGAGAAGCTTTAGTCAAGAGGTTTTGTTCTGTCTGTAACTTCCCACAGATGGCGCCAATTGTACGGGAAAAGAAATAAACCTTCTCGTATAATTCTGTTGACCAAGTCTGCGCTCCTCCGTACGACGTCGCCTTATCACCTGAAAACACAAACGTGAGCTAGCCGGCGGGTGTGTGCCGGAAACCTCTCCGATGCCTAAGTCAGCAAACTTGACAAATAGACAAAGCTCTGTGAATTCAGAAAGCAGAGTTGTGTGTTACCTCTCCCAAGGTGATGTTTGTGAGCTTTTATAGGTTTTGCGTGGCACAATCCTAGTAGGACTTCTATTCCTCCACACAGAGTCCTCCTAGGATTTAACCTCCTGAAGGATAATCCTTATCCTCCAACACCCCTCTCACTGCTTAAACGAAGTGAGATGGTTATTACCACGGCCGAACTCCATCATGACCGAAGCAATCTTGGCTATGCTGAGCCGCAGAGTAGGCCGGACTATACTTAGTTCGATTCTTCCCTTTACTCCTTGCTTCGGCTTCTCATGCACAACTCATGGTACAGTTAGACCGAATTAACATGTCAAGACCGGTTCAACTCTAGGACCGGTCTAGCTCCAAAACATCTCTAGGCCAGTAACTTCAATCTTCTTTCGGATAACTCCAAAACATTCACAAGACCAGAGCAACTTATACGTCCATTCTACTCGGCCCTTTGTACTGCGGCCCATAACAGCCCATTTACGAATATTTTTCAAAATCTTCAAGAAACAACCTCTTACCAACCCTTGGTATTCCAGAGGACAAATTAAAGATGATAACCGACTAAGAGCGTGGATATATATAACGGTTAACGTTAACTTTTCCCATTCATCACATTCTCTTAAAATTACGTGGCAATCTTTCATTTGTCCACATAAGCAATCCAAAGTGACACGACAATTACCAAACTAATGGAGAAATTGCTCCATTTCTTTGAGCAATTTCCATTTCTAAATTAAAAAATTCACAGATTCTACAATTAAATCAATAATAATTATTTTAGAGTGTCATAAAAAATTAATGACTTTTAAAAATGCTATGGTGTACATTTAAATTTATGTAAATCTCAACTATTGATTTTTAAATTCTGAGTAATTTTTAAATATTTTAATATGGATTTATAACATTCATATAAATTTAAAATTTGGTAAAAAGTGAACTACACCTAAATTAATTATGATCTGTAAATATAATTTTTTAGATACATAACATTGACCGATTTGGGTCTTAATTTTAGCTGGAGTAAAACAGCGGCCGCCGCGAGGGTTCTTTGGTCCAAATGTGTTATGGATTGTTAATTTGACCATTGTATTCAACTAGTTGCCATTAAATATATATGGAAACTTGTGAAGTTGTTATTTTTCACACTTATCATCAAATCGCAGATCTTTCATTTCCATACCCAAAACTCAATATAAAAACTCCTCTTCATGGTCATACGCTCCTCATCTCTCTTCACAATACTTTTGTTTTTCATTTGAGAGACTTTCTATATATATATATATAATACATATGTATATGTAGTTGTAGTTGTCACTTTTTCAATATCCCATTTCATCATCTTTGTTACAACAATGCAATCTCCAACTTCCGTCAACAAGTTCACCGAAATCAAACAAAAATCTCGATTTTTATCGGATAATTTCATTTGGAGTCTATGCAAAGTATTGGCTGTTTCAGGAATCCTAGTCTACTTGGTCTTCCTAACTGCTTCAAACAATTCCATCTGTCCAGATTCCAACTTCTTCTTCAAATTTTCACCTTCCAAGGCCATTTACATTAATGACAACTCTCCCACTAATGTCTCCCACCTTGTTTTCGGACTCGTAAGTTCTGTCAAATCTTGGAAACCCAGAAAACCTTACATCGATTCGTGGTGGCGACCCAACGTGACACGTGGCTATCTCTTCCTCGACAGAGGCAACATGGATGAGTTCCTCCCATGGCCTAAAACTTCTCCTCCTCTTCGGATCTCTGATGACTGCTCTAAGTTAGAGAAAGAATCGAAGCACGTTGCGCCAATCATGATTCGCATGGTGCTTGCGATTTTGGAGACTTTTAGAGAAGGTGACGATGGAGCGAGGTGGTATATTATGGGGTTCGATGACTCCATTTTTTTTGTGGATAACTGGGTTGATGTTTTGAACAAGTATGATCATAGTAAGTATTACTATATCGGGGCTTATTCGGAGACTGTTATGTCGAATATGTGGTACTCGTTCGATCAGGCTTTTGGTGGAGGTGGATTTGCTTTGAGTTATCCTTTAGCAGCAGCTATTGTGAAAGATTTGAAAGGGTGTATTAAGAGATACCCATATGTGATTTCACATGATACAATTGTGCAGTATTGTGTCGATGAGTTGGGAGTTTCTCTTACCGTTGAGAAAGGTGTTCATCAGGTACTGCTAATTCATTCATCTCATATATATATATATATATACATTAAAATCTTTGTTACACCATCTTTGATAATTAGAAGAGAAAAGGAAAAAGAATGATTTGTTGAGTATGGAGAGAAAATAATATCTTCGTTACACCATCTTTGATAATTAGAAGAGAAAAGAAAAGAAATGATTTGTTGAGTATGGAGAGAAAATAATATATATATATATATATATATATTGTGATTAGAAAGAAAGAAACTGAAGAGAAGAGAACAAAAAAAAAAAACAAAAAAAAAAAAAAACAAAAAAACAAAAAAACAAAAAAAAAATAAACGAAAAAAAGATGGTGATTTTTCTCCAAACCTGTTTGGACATATTATGCAAATGAAAAGATAAAAATCTTTTACAGGTTATATATTAAAATAATTTTTTTATATTTTTATTTCTTCCATATCCAGGTGGATAATTTTAAGATTATGTGAAATTCGTAATCATCTCATTTTTCTACTCTTCCAATCTCTCCAATGGGAGAGATTCGAAAAGTGTGGGTTGTATGAGAAATTAATCTGTTTCCATTCTTCTCATTTCTCTCCTCCTAAGTGTATTTTCATCGCTTTATCAAATTTGCATAATATTTTGAGTAAAAATTTGATCATGAAAAATTTGATCTGATATAATATACTTCAATGATAAATTTAAATTTTTCATCAAATCTTGTTACAAGGCCGATTTTCTGGGAGGATGCTTGAGAGGATATCTGAGAGGACGTCTGGCCCAACAACCACCTACAAAATTTGATGAAAGATAAATCTTCATTGATTTGATGAAAAATTTAACTCTCCCTTAATTTAATATCGATTTGATGAAATGGCTGAAGCTGAATTTTAATGTGTTTTTCATTAAATTTGAATTGATGAAAAATTGGAGATGACCTAACTCATCAAAATAAGTAATTAACACCCAAAGCAATCATTTTTTTTTTCTCCTCTCCAAATCACTCAACCCAAATGGCTGTTAGTGGGATTGATCTAATTTTTGTTTACAATTTATGAGGCAAAATAGTTTAAATTATTATTTTTTTCTTTCCTACCATTTTGAAGGGGAAAAAAAAGGAAGAAAATTACAAAACTTTAATTGTTAAAGTTGGTAAAGTTTCACTCATTTGATTTTTTTTTTCTTCTTGAAAACGCAGTGAATTTTAATTTTATTTAAAAAAAACAAAAAACAAAAAGTAGACATAAAAATGACACAAATAAAAAATAAAATTTGATGTATGATTTTCCTTAGTTTTGCATTATTGTATTTTCTTCTCCAGTAAACATAAAAATGACACCAAAAATAAAAAATAAAAAAATTGATGTATAATTTTCCTTAGTTTTACATTATTTTGTATTTTCCAACCTCACGCACACTTATCATAATGCAAACTGGTAGTATATAGTTATCAACAAATTGTTTTGTTTTACTATTGTCGCATTTGATTGGCTGGTCGTCTCTGTCAATTGGAAACTTTGGGAGATACTTGCTGATTTGATGCTTTTGACTTAGTTATTTTATTCATGTACTTTGCCTCGTTGCTCATCCATAAAATTTTGTTTCTTTTGCTGGTAAAAATAAATAATAAAAGATATGAACTTTAATACTTTAATTTCGGTGACACTTTGTGATTGCACATGGACTTAATTTTTTATTTTTTATTTAGATGAGAAGGTTTTAATTGATATATAAAGATGCCTTTAACTCTTTTAAGTTTAATTCCTTTACGCTATGTTTGGATTGAGTAATTTGGAGAGAAAAAAAAAATAGAGAGAGATACATTTCTCTTACTTGTTTGGATAATCTAAGTGGAAAGAAATAGAAAGAAATTGAGAGAAATGAAGAGAAACTCATTTCTCTTATAAGTCTCATTTTCAATCTTCTCAAAAGTGGAGAGATTGGGAGAAAAAAGAAATTACTATTTTCATAATACTAATTGTCCCTATAAAAATAAAAGAAATAAAATGTTTGAAAATATTAAAAGGTTATTTTGGTAATATAACATAAAATAATTTCTTTTCTTTTCTTTTAATGAAATCTAACCAAACAAGAATGAGAGAAATCATAATCATAATCCTTTCTTTTATTTCTTCCTCATCCAAACAAAAATGAGAGAAATTACAATCATTTTTTTTCTTCTTTTCTCCTATTACTTAAGTAATCACTTCTTTTCTTTTCTCTCCTAAGTTTCCAAACACAGTGTTAATGTCACGGTAAACTAAGAGAAATTTCTTGGCCTAATTTTTATAATAAATGAATTGATATTTTATTTGAGGAATTTAGATTTTTTTTTTTTAGTAATTAAGTTAGATGCATTGGATGATGTATTAGTCTTGGAATTTCAAGAGTCACATGGATAGGTTGACCAGGTAATAGTGTAATGCATTTTAAAGTCACATGGATGGGTTTACCGAGTAATAGTATAATGCATTTTGATGTGATAGAGATATGAATATATTTATTACAAGAGTTTGGTGCTCTATTTAAATAAAAAAAGAAAAAATAAGTAAAATTAAAATAAAATATATTTATATTTCATTTAATTTTATATGTAGTTTTTTTAAAATTTCTCTGTAAATTCCCGACTTAAGAAAACTCCTATATTTATTACAAGAGTTTGGTGCTCTATTTAAATAAAGAGCAATGCTAGGTATCATGAAAAATTTTTCATGAAAATGATCATGAAAGATTTATGACCCTTGGATTACACTTAAAATAAAACACCACACACTAATCAAGGTAATCCAAGAGCCATAAATTTTTCATGATCAATTTCATGAAAATTTTTTCATGATCCGTATCTTTTCTCTTAAATAAAAAAAAAAACAAGAAATAAGTAAAATTAAAATAAAATATATTTATATTTCATTTAATTTCATATATATAGATTTTTTAAATCCCTTTGTAAATTCCCGAAACAAACGCACTAGATACCGTGATGTTTCGAGAAATTGGTAAAAAGTCGATTTTTTAAATTTTTTTAGCCTAATTTATCTTTTTATGAATAAAAAATGTGAGATGTGATATAATTCGAAATAGATAAACAGTTAAAAGCTGACTCTTTTTTTTACTCTCCAAAAACCCCTATATTCCTTCCTATAATAACCCTGTTTGGTAGAGTCGTGGGAAAGTGCTTATAGCTTATGTCTAAACAGCTTATAACTTATAACTATAAACATAAACTGATTTCTGACTTATAAATTAAGCATCTCCTGCCCCACTCAAAGAATAAGCTGATTTCTGACTTTCAAAAAAGCTATAAACTATAAGGTATAAGCTAAACCAAACACATCAAAATAATTTAAATTAAGTTGAAAGTTGAAATAAACAGCTTTTAAGCTGCACCAAACAGCCAGACTTGTGATCATTGTTTGAATACATGTAAATAGAAAAGGAATTGTCTGTTCTTTTCAGGAGTTTTGTACTACACACTGGGATAGTTTATAGTCACAATTTTTTTATTTATCATATTTACACAGTGGAAAAATTTGAAACATATATAAAATTCATGTAAAAAGTTGATAAGAATGATATAGTAATATTATTATTATAAATTAATCTATCTTCAATGATATTTTATTTTGAAATAATAGATCAACAATAAATCACATCATTATATATAAAAATTATGTATGAATTTTTTTTTATATATATATCATTATTTTTACACATTTTGTTGAACTTTATTAGCTTACATGAATTCTAACATATTATAAGAGTAATTTCTAACAGATTATATATATTTTTATTGAATATGTGCAGATTGATCTACTTGGAGATATATCAGGATTTTTATCATCCCACCCACAGTCTCCTTTACTTTCCCTGCACCATTTGGATTTTGTACAACCTATATTCCCCTCCAAGGACAGTCTCCAATCTACGGACCACCTCATGAAAGCTGCAAATGTTGACCAGTCACGTTTACTGCAACAAACTGTGTGCTACCACAAAAACAGAAAATGGTCTATCTCTATCTCGTGGGGATACTCAGTCTATATTTACGATGCAATTCTCCCTCGTACCCAGTTAAAGAGACCCCTCGAGACGTTTAATGCATGGGCTAGGGATGCACAACCACCAAAATACATGTTTAACGTTAGGGGAACATGTGATTATCCTCCTGTTGTGTTCTTCTTTGAATCCATTGAGAATTCCTCATCAGGAAACCAAATTGTCACCACCTATCTCAGATCATCACCACCTGCCTACAATTGTTCATCCAAGCCAAGTCATTCTGCAGATCATATATCCAAAATTCAGGTCTTCTCACCAACAACAAAGTTCATGGAGGTAAGTGTCAAACTTATTGTATATGATTTCTTAGAAAATTATTTAGTCCTGGGGTTCTATATGTTTGTAGTTTTTCCATCAAATGAAGAATCACAAAATTTATTAGATGAGTCATTATTTATATCGTAACTACTTACCAATAGTGGGTCAGCATTGTCTTTGCTACATCGGTTAGTTGGAAGCACCATGTGAAATATTGTGATATGATATTTTGAGATTGCTAAATAGTTATCATTTTTTATTTAATATATATATATATTAATATATAATAATTTTACAATTGGTCGGAGGGGAATAGGGGAAGGGGCTGTTCGGAGTAGAGGGTCCAGTTTAGGGTAATTTGAGCCCACCTTAGGTTTATCTTGGTCATTTGAATTGCTCAATTTTTTGTGTCTTCTGAGCAGATTATTCATATAAAAATTTAGTTTAATCTAATATCAGTAGTCATATGTTTTATCGCATGTATTAAAAAAAATTTTGATTTATTCTCAAAATCATATTTGCTATCATTTTTTTTTTTAAAAACAAACAATCCAAATGAATGGTTATCAATGTTTGATCAACTTGATTTCTTATATGAATGATGCACTCAGAAGTTATTACAAATTGAGCAATTAAGAGAACCAAGAGGGACTCAAAGTGAGTTCAAATTAACCTAGATTGGGCCCTCCAACCCAATTAGATGACTAGAGGGAAGTTGAGTCCATATCTACAAAACATAAATTTCGCATTTTTTTCACCTTCTGGAATGAGGGTTTCAATATATCATTATGAAAAACTCATGTTTTATTTATCTAACAAATCTCTTTATTTCTCTCTAGATTCAAAGAAGCGAATGCGGTGACATTGAAAAAGTGGGCACAAACATTGTAGAGGTCAAATTAAGGCGTTGCAGGGATGATGAGATAATTGGTTAAACGAAATGTAGCATTATACATTTGTAAATTTTTTTTGAGCAAATTAAACTTGTTATTTAATGAGTTTTTATTTTTTATTTTATTTTTTTTGATAATTTGGTTATTACAGTTTAATTATATCAATTTGTTTCTTTAATTTTCATATTGTATCAATTTAGACAAATTGATAGCACTTTTTAAAAAATTGGATTGAAATTAAGGGATAAAATAGTTCATTCACTCTTCTTAAATTGATTGAGATTATCATCCAATTTGAAATGGTTCATTCCTTTTGAATGGACCATTTTGCCTCTAATTTTTGTTTATTTTTTCTAACTAATGTTGTCAATTAGATTAAATTTATACAAATATCAAAAATCAATGGACAAAATTGATACAATCAAAACTAAGGTAATTGATGTAAAAAAATAAATTACTAGGATCACATGTATAATTTGTTCAATTTTCTTTAATGCAATTGAAATAAAAAATTATCAAATCACTAGGGGAAAACCATGAATGATTGTTGATCCATACATTAATCTATAGTTAAACTCAAATCTCATCCTATTAAAAAAATAAATGGGGACCTTTTTTTCTAAAAGCGCCCTAACTACTCTCTCTCTCTCTAGTTTCAAATTTCCCCCCTTCACATATGATGGGTCCAGGAGGATGGATCCCAGTAGTCAAACAAAGAGGTTATCACATGAATCGCTGTATGAGGTTTGAAGATCGCAGAGCAGGATTATTTACGCTCTTTGTGGACAACTTGTCGGAATCAATGAATCCAAGAAAGCTGCATGATCTGTTCATCAAATTCGGTGTTGTAAAGGACGTGTTCATACCAAACAAGAGGAGGAAATCATCAAATACACGTTTTGGATTTGTCAGGTACGATTGTCCTATCGTAGCAAGAGTGGCAGAACATAAGGCAAATGGCTTGTGGATGGATGATAAATCATTAGCAGTTAAATTCTCAGAGTATGGCACTAGTATTGAGAAAAGTAAGAATCTGAATCTGTTCCCTCCAAGACAATCAGAGATGAACAAGCCAGCAACCTTGACTGCCAAAAAGGTCTGGAACCACGACACTGATAGCAGATCATTTGTAGAGGTTGTCAATGGATCAGAACCAAGGTATACATCTACAAAAACTATCAAGGTAGAAGAGTTGGGGAATGGATGGCTGTTTGAGAGCTTGATTCTGCAGCTCAAATTAAATTACTCTATCTTGGAGGTGAGAATGGAACTCAACACCAGAGGTATGCTGAATGTGCTGGTGCGAGAAGGAGGTGGACGTGATGTTATTCTAACTTTTAATTCAATGGATGACCTGCTGAGTAAAAAGTCTTCGGTCATAGAATGGTTTCAAGAATGGTGTGAGTACATCACGGAGTGGAGATCTTAGAGTTTTTGAGGAACAGACCACAGATGCTATCACTACTAGTTGCAAAGGTACTACCACCATTGGAGCTGCAGATGATGGATGCTCCAAAAATCATGGTATACTCAGTCCCATTAAGGATACTAGCTTGGAGAAAGTCGTTGATGACAATGCAGATGAGGTGGAGAAAAATGGGGCCACGTCACCTACATTCGATGGAAGAAATGATTTGGAAATTGGTGGTAGTTGGAGTCATGCCTCAGCAATGGAGGAAACTCAAGATTGTGTGGGAAATTCAAATGAGGAAGGCACATGTGTGGTAGAGTCATCATTACCAGAGGCAATGTAGCAGATACATGTCAGTAATCTTGTCAAACAAATAGGTGCAGAGGCTACTATAATAGGAAATAATTACATGGCTCAACTAGGTGAAGTAGCTCCCTCTAAAATTAATCATATACCTACTCCAAGCTTTATTAAGAGCTTAAGTGAACCACTGCAGGTTGGACCTGGCATTAATCTGGAGGTAACTCTTGGCCTTGTTCAATCTGGGCTGTAGCCCATTTCTAGCCAGCAACCCATTGAGCCATCTGGCGAGGTCTCACAGCCTTTGGGGCCAGTTGGAGTTGGTCTCAATCACACTCCTTCATCCGAAGTAAGTGTATTTGCCAGCCCAACCTTTTCAGGCTCAATTAGACACCGTATTAAAAAAAGGCAAAAAAAGAGGCATCCGATCTGAGGGGCTCAAGAACACTCTGCTACTAGGAAGATTTACTGGTATTGCAAGAAGATTTGGGTAGAAAGGCACAGGGTCAAGCAAAGGAACATTCAAAGGAACATTCAAAGGAACATTCAAAGGTTCAATGTCAAGCCCTGTGCTGTTTCTCAATCAAGTCAACACACGGGTAGCAAGCAGACCCCTTCTGGAACTGATTTACTACAAGAGGCTCAAGCAACAATGCAGTTGGGACACAATTTGGGTATTGATTACAAGGGGCAGGAATCTGTGATTCTCAAGAAACTAACACTTATGGAGGAAAAGGACAAGGAGAGGTTGGGAAGAGGAAATAGTGTGGTGGAGTAATCTGCTCCCTATGGGTGAATACAGAGAATTATTTGTTCTTATGAAGCTAATCAGCTAGAATATCCGAGGGGCAGGTAGGCCAGAAAAGAGGAAAAAAATTAGGAAATTGTTGCTAGATAGGAAAATTGATATGGCTCTTCTTCAAGAAACAAAAAGATCATGTATCACCAGCTTGATGGTTAGAAGTGTGTGGCCTAGGGATAGGATGGAATTTATGAATGTGGATGCAAATGGATCAGTAGGGGGTCTCATATGTGTCTGGGATCCTGACATCTTCCAACTATCCAATTGTTGCAGTAATAGGCATTTCATTCTACTCTCAAGTAAACTTTACAACTTCTTTGATTGTGTAATTGTAAATATTTATGCTCCCAATGATGTTACAAACAAAGAGAGATTATGAGAGACATTTCTCAAGCTGAAAGTTATTCCCAAAACCCTGGGGTCTTGGTGGTGACTTCAATGAGATTAGGAATTTAGGGAAAAGAGTAGGTACATCTAGAAGGGATAGGGGCATGCAAGAGTTCAATGATTTCATAGATAGATGCGAGGTGATAGATGTACAACTGATAGGAAGAAAGTACACATGGTGCAATGCTCTTGATGGAAACAAATGGAGCCATATAGACAGATTTCTCCTTAATCTGGAATGGCTGGAAATGTTTAAGTTCAAGCTTTGGGGGCTGCCCAAATTAGCCTCTGATCACTGTCCTATTGTGCTAATGAAGGATGAGCGGGATTGGGGTCCTAAACCCTTTAAGTTTTTGAATGCTTGGATCTTGCACCCTACTTTTGCTTCAGTAGTGGAAACATCTTGGAAGGAAACTCAAAGTGTTGGCACTGCTGGATTTATTTTACAGAGGAAGTTGCATAACCTGAAATTAGCATTAAAAATATGGAATATAGAAGTCTATGGGAATGTTGCACACAAATTACAAGTTTCTGAGCGTGAACTTAATGAACTTGATTTAAGAGCAGAATCCAGGCCTCTGGATGAGAATGAACTGAAACAAAAAAGAGAAATAAAGGATGAAATGTAGAGATTGAGCAAGAAGTTGAAATGGGAATGGTTACAAAAATCTAGACTGGACTGGAACCTGAATGGTGATAGAAACACAAGATATTTTCATGTAATGGCTACTAGCAGGCAAAATAGAAACACCCTTAATTCCATCACGGTAGGGGCTGTAGTACTTGAGGAGCCAAACCAAGTTAAGCATGAGGTGTGGTCACATTTTTCTAATCATTTCTCAGAGGAATGGAGAAATAGACCTACAATTGTTGGGGAGTTCAAGAGTGTAAGGTCTAGCGATTCGTTCCATATGCTTGAAGCAAACTTTTCTAAAAATGGAGATATGGGCTGTAGTTAGTGAGTATAATGGGAATAAAGCCCCAGGGCCAGATGGATTCAACCTGATATTTTTTCAAAAGACTTGGGGGACTATTAAGGAGGAGATGCTCAACTTTATGAAAGAATTCCACTCTGGAGGTCGTTTGGTTTCAGGATTAAATAGCACTTTTATCACCCACATTCCAAAGAAAATAAAAGCTGTCAACCTTAAGGAGTTTAGGCCCATTAGCCTGGTTGGGTCAGTTTATAAGATACTCTCCAAAGTCCTTGCCACTAGACTTAAAAGAGTTATTCCCATGGTAATTGGTGATTCCCAGTCAGCTTTCATGGGTGAGAGAAACATACTTGATGGTATCTTGATTGCAAATGAAGTTGTTGATGGATGGACTAGAACAAAAAAAAAAAAAAAAAAAGGGCTTCTGCTCAAATTAGATTTTGAAAAAGCTTTTGATTCCATTAGTTAGGATTTCTTATTTTCTATGCTATCTAACTTTGGGTTTGGAACCAAATGGATCTCCCGGATTAAAGAGTGTGTATCTACTGTAAAGCTCTCAATTCTTGTCAATGGTTCACCAACCAAGGAGTTTACTCCTCAGAAAGGTATTAGGAAAGGTGATCCCCTCTCACCATTTCTATTCATTCTGGTGGCAAAAGCACTGAACATTCTCCTACAGAGAGCAAGAGAATTGGGCCTACTAAAAGGGGTGAATATTGGAGTCAACCAGGTGGTCCTTTCTCACTTGCAATTTGCAAATGATTCTCTTTTGTTCTATCAAGCTGAAGTTTTAGAAGTTCTGTGCCTAAAGAGGGTTCTCAGGTGCTTTGAACTAGCTTCAGGTCTCAAAATCAATTACCCCAAGAGTGTTCTTTGTGGGGTTGGCATTTCTGATTCTTCCCTCCATGAATTTGCCTCAGTACTGCATTGTAAGGCTCAAAAGCTCCCTCTCAAATATCTAGGTTTGCCATTAGGTGCTAGTCCAAGGAGAAAGAAGACTTGGAAACCTGTTATTGACAAAATTAAATTAAGGCTTGCTGGTTGGAAAAGGAGATCCCTTTCATTTGCAAGTAGACTAACTCTGATCAAAGCAGTCTTATCCAGCCTACCAGTGTATTTTTTGTCTCTGTTCCGGGTGCCTGAAGGTATAGCTAAGGAGATAGATCAAATTCAAGCAGCATTCTTATGGGGTGGCCCAGATTTAAAGAGAACATTATATCTAGTCAAATGGTCAGAGGTGACTAAGAGTATTAAGCAAGGTGGCCTAGGTATAAAAAGAATTAGAGATGTGAATGTCTGCTTACTTCTCAAATGGTGGTGGAGGTTTGCCAATGAACATGATTCACTTTGGAAGAAAGTTCTCTGCAGCAAATACAGATTTCAAGGAGAAGAATGGTTACCTATCCTAGGCCCTGGTATCACTAGCTCAAGGATTTGGGGTGACATTCTAACAACAGTTGAGCAGAAGGAAAATTTGTTGTTGTTCTATGTTTCTAACCTACAATTAAGAGTGGGTAATGGTTACAGAATCAAATTCTGGCATGATAAATGGTGTGGAGGCATTATACTTAAAGAGGAATTCCCAAGGCTATTTCAGCTTTCTAATGATAAGGACAGCTCTATTAAGGACCTGGTAGTTCATACAGCTGTGGACGCGCCCTCGGGCTTTATGCCACCACAGTTCGAACTCCCTTTTGTGTCACGGTTCTTAGTCTGAACCAAAGAGTCCAAATCCGGCAAATCGTTTTGAGAAAACAGATTTGTAGAAAAGAAGTGCCAAACATGTACTGCTTTGCCAAATGCAGAGTCGCCACCTAAATATTTTTTAATGGGGGAATTTAGGAAACCCTGACTCATTGCCTAAGGCCACGTGTCCGTCATCACCAAAGTTGCCTCGGCTCGGGAACTTGGGTACGATTGGGGAAGGTCAGCTATGAGCATCCCCTCTCGCCCGATCCGAAGATCGGCCTCTACTAACCATGATATCCAATTTTGAAATCGTTATGTGTTCTTATTCCGGTTAATTAGCTAGAATTACTATGTGATGCCCACAACAAAACAAGTATAGACTAGATCGCTTAATTTGAAACAAAGCATCGCATATCCGTTTGTTTGGAAAATGTTTTGAAATTTGCTACTCGCGAGTAGGCTAAAACACGGATTTTGATGAGTTGTTCCAATTCAAGCAATCCAACCTTCACCCATAGGCATTCAGGCAGTTCATATTACATAAGCATCTAGCCACATGGTAAGCATGCTGCCATGATAACATTCACACTCGTGCGAGATGCTAAAGCACAAAATACTTACAGTGTACTCCAAGCCAAAACAAAGAACTCGTTATCAATCAATGTATGATCCAAGTCCATGTTAAGTGCCTAATGCAACGCATACAGAATGCAATTAGGATAGGCTCGGCTAATCCTATGATGTCTTGTGAAATGCAACCATTTGATGCACATATTCAAGTTAGATTTGAAATACTTATGCAGTTAGCATGATGCGCCGAGCCCGGTGCATGCAATGCTGATGAATGATGCACGCATGCATAGCATAAGGTATGCTAAATTAAATATGCCCTAATACTAACCATCAAAGCAGGTAAGTAAAAGGGAGAAAGAAGTGAGGGTTGGAAAACATGCACACACGCACCCACACTTATTACAAATTCGCCCTCGCTCGGAGGGACCAAAAGAATAATACAATTAATTAACCTACAAGCTAATTAATTATTACGGACAAATTAAACTAGTTAAGAAAATTAACTAATCTAATAAAATAGTAAACAGCCTCGGGAAGAGGGCCCAATGTAATGCATGCTCAGTTCCGTTCGGAAGTCCACTGCCATGCGCAAGTTGCCTCTATTTTTACTGTTTGGCACCTCTGAAAATTGCACAAACTCCATGGTTGCTTCTCTGAGTGCTGTGGAACACCACCGGCCATGAGGAATGGTCACTGGCCATGGGGAATGGTCATTGACCACCTGTGGAGATATCGGCCACAAATTGTTGGTCGGTCGGCATTGTATGTAGCCGACCGGCCAAAACTTCCTACAAAACCTGTTTTGACAGCAGCAGAGGGCAAAACAAGGCATGACAATGCATTTCAAGCAAATGTGTGCACCAACACATCCCTTATCATATTTGTGACTTAAAGGGACATGGTTCTCGATTCTCGAACCACCAACCGCGCATTTCAATGCATGATGGCCCAAGAAACCAAGTATGTACTTTGATTTCAAATGAGATGCACATCAAACAAACAAGTGAGGCTCAACCTCTATCATACTCAATTCAAGAGGCAAAGCATGGATGCCAATGCAATGCAACCAATGCATGTTAACTAAGTATGCAACATGGGCATGCAATGCACAATGCATACTAGGCATACAACCTATGCAAGCAAGCATGCAAGGCATGAGGCAACACAAACCAACAAGTGTGCAAGATGCAATGTGGATGTTCAAGCATGTAGCAACACATGGAGCAAGCATGTTAAACAACCTAAACATGTAACAACACACAAGTATGCAACAACACACAAGGCGAGCATGCAACAACATGCGAATAATAGACTTAAACTAATTTGGGCAGCTCTATACTAAGCCTAAAACAGTGGCCAATTGCTAAGAGAATGAGGACCAAATAACATGCAAGCATGCATGCACACAAGGACCAACACTTAGGCATTGAAGAGCAACTCTCAAGCACACTTGAGAGGATGAAAACATGGACAAATGGCATGCATTATAAGCTCTGAAAATCTAGTCATGAAAGGTGCCAAACCAACTAGACAAGACAAACAAGGCATGCAAGCAAAGCCAAAATTCAAGGCAAGCCAAAGGTGTATTGAACTACACTTAGCAAAATCGAACATGGCATGAATTAAGCAACCAAAATCAGAGTTTTAGCATATTAAGACAAAGCCAATAACACATCTAGATGGCATCTAAATGACTTGAACATGCAAGCATGCACAAGGGCCTAAACAAGGGGCATAAGACAACAACCTTTTAACACATTAAAGGGGCATCAAATGCAAGCATGCCAGCATGTCATGAGGACTGAAATGACATATTAAATGGTTCCAAACCACTAGAATAATGCAAGTAATGCATGCTCATGGTTCATACACTTGAGGCTTACAAGCCAAGAATGCAAAGAGGCTAAACAAAGCATGACAAGCATGGCTAAGACAACCTACATCAGACCTTAAGCATGGCAAAACAAGCCTAAAAGCTTCACAAAGCTTGGCCAAAACAAGCAAGCATGGTAATCTACATGCTAAGTACATGTTAAGGCAAATGATGGCATTACAAGACATGTATGCTAAACAAGCATGGTGTGCCTAAACCAACATAAAATAGTGTTATAGCATGGCAAAATAACACTAAATAACAGCTAAGATATGGCCAACATGAACCCAAATAAGATGCTCACTCAAAAGGCTAAAATGGCCCTTTTCAAGGACAACAAGGAGGGGGGGTAGCCCTCTCCTTCTTAAGACCTTAAGGAATCATCCTCACCACTGAAATCCCTCAAGATTTCAGGGGTGAGGAGGCCCAAACAAAGTGGTCCTGGAGCTCACCAAAATAGCACAAAAATAGGGCCAAACAAGGCCTAAGAGTGGTCAAACACCCCCAAACGACAAAGCAACCTTAAACAACTATGTTAAGACTCAAAATCAAGACTTTTGTTAGTTATATACAAAGTCTAAAAATAGTTGCAAGATAGTCAAAAAGCTATGCAAAAATGGAGAATAAAGGGCAAGAACACTCACCCTTGAAGAATACTTCCAAGATCAGAAGACCAGACCTCTTCTTGGATCAAAACCAGCTCAAAAAGTCCAAGATCAACCCTCTAATGCCTCAACAACTAAGAAAAGGTGTAATGGTAGGTGTTTGTGTGCAATAATAAGGACAAACACACACTTAACTCACAAGGGAGAGAGGGATAGAGATAGAATAGACACACACTTCTAACCCTATAAACCAGACCTCTAGAGCTTTTTTTTCTAACCCTAATGGAGGGAGAAGAGGCTCCTTCTTATAGATAATCCCTCTTGTAAAGCTTTCCAAACAAGCTAGTCAAGAGGGAGATCCCTCCATACACGTGTATGGAAAGGAGCAAAGTGTATGCCAACTAGCACAGCTGGCATAAAAATATCTGCAAAAGCAGATGAGTAGTGGTCGGCCAGCCGAAAATACAATTTGACCAAAATAGATGGCCGGTCGACCATCTAGAGTGCCGGTCGGCCAAACATTTGGCCGATGGCAACAAAACACAACCGGTGGCCTCAATCCATGGTCGGTGGAGTGTGGAGATGGCCAACAAGCCATTCCCTTCCCTCCAAAGCAAAAACACAAGTGTTTGGTGTAAAACCAAACACAAAACAGTCGAGTCAAGAGATCCTGAGGCAAGGCGCCTAGCCGAGACCTCCGAGAACTCAAGACGAACACAAACAATGATGATCACCGAGTGTTCAAACGGTGAAGTCCAAGTCTTGAGGACGGTCAAAAATGGGGTGTCTACAGTTCCCCCTCTTTGACAGAACTCGAAAGTTATAAGAATGACGGGAGTGAGTGTCAAAGCCGAGAGACGACCCATTTTTGACAAGGCCGAAGACTTAGACAAAGCATGCAAGACAATAAAGATATGCGCCCGAAGGCAGGGGAAAAATGTAACTGATAATGCAAGAAGCCGAGCATAACTTATGATCATGCAAAGAAAGCCGTAACGAAGCATAACATGCAACAGTTTTAAGCTAGCATACATTAATCCAACTACACTACAATTCAGAAAGGATATAAGAGAATTATGTAATTCTCGATACGTCTCACTCGGAGAATACAATACCTGCGCAGTTCGTCTGGTTGCACCAACTTCAAATGAACCGTACATACAATATCGTGCCGATAAAAGAAAGCAACTTAACAGGTACAATATTGTTAGCAACATGCATGACAATGCAAAATGAATGCGAAATGATATGCAGTATATACAAAACTATATATAAACAATGCAAACGATAATGCAATGCAATTGAATCATAATCGAACCACGAGCGATACAAAACCACACAAATGTCAAAGAGATGATGGAGATGCAAAGTCCGTCTACCATAGAAAAGGTGCCGCAACCCTCAAACCAACATACCAGCGTGGAATAGGCGTGTACACATGCAGAACTATGAGCGATGTAGACAGACACAAGAATAAGTAATTGGGTGGAATAACATAAGTGGGGAAGTGACCCGCTGAGGAAAGACCATGACCTTAATGCTGGATGCAAAAATTACACTACAATGTAATATATATAATGGATATGGTGCGCGGGCCAAACCAAATCTTGCCCAGGAAAGACATGTACACATACAAGCCATGTCTAACACAGAAAAGGTGCCGCAACCCTCAAACCACAATATCAGCAGTGGAATAGGTGCGTACACAAAAGTCTCAGATCCGTGCTTCGACGTGAAAAGTATGAGCACATACCAGACCAAGCTCAACATGGAAAGGTGCAAGCCATAGCTGGATGTGATGCGGCAAATGCATGCAAGCTACAATGCAACATATACAAATATGCAATGGAATAGAATATTTACAATGGAAAAGGCTTGCGGCCCAAATCGTAT